CAGACATGTTATGGGAGACAAGGGAAGACAAGGAGAGACAAAGCAAAGTGATCTCAGCCCAGCATCCAGACACGTTATGGGAGACAAAAGGAGACAAGGGGAGACAAAGCAAAGTCATCTCAGCCCAGCATCCAGACACGCCATGGGAGACAAGGGGAGATGAAGGGAGACAAAGCAAAGTCATCATCTCAGCCCAGCATCCAGACACGCCATGGGAGACAAGGGGAGACAAAGGGCGGGAGTCATCTTGGCCCAGCATCGTTTCTATGCAAGAATTGAGAACCGCTCACAGCAATGCTGTTTGGGGAATTATTTTGGCTCCTTGTATCTATGGCTGGCGTGCCGAACATAAGGCTATTGGCATGGCTATTGACTATAATTGGTCCCACAACATACTGAATATGACATGCTGACTGAGTATGACATGCTGAATGCTTCCGCTTTGGCCGTCCTCCATAAAGCAGCCTCTGTGCCGCTTTGTCAACGCCTGTGATCTCCTCTACTTTGTCTTGAAGTGCCTACGGTTCAGGCTTGAGCAGGGAGCCAAAGACTCTGCAAAATTGGACAAATAGCGAATAAAATAACAAAATGTGTGTTTGTGAAGCCCTTGTTGTTGAAAACATGTTCGTCTTAATGTGGATGTCCTCAACATTGCTGTCTCTCGGCAGCTCCACACAAAGCAGCTGGTTGCCGCTGAGAGCAAGCACTGAAATTTGCACCAGGTCGTGGTGCCGCAAAGTGAAGCTGGCAACCGCACGCATCTGCTGGCTTATTCGGCTCTTGTCAATGTCTTTTATTGTAAAGCTTGTAAAACAGTTGACCTGTCAGTGCCACCAGTTCAGGGGCTGTTGATGCAGTTTTCAATGTGTATCAGACTAGGTCCTGGAAGTCTACAAACCATTCAGGTATGGAAGGATTTCAAAGCCAATACAATAAACGTCGTATTTGCAACACTGCATTGTTCTATTGCTCTGCTGCCGCATCATTATGAATCATAGTCGGTTACCATCACTTCATTCATGCAAGGATGCTTGAGCAAAACACCCATACACAAGGTGAAACAAAGTATTCAAACGAACGTTCAAAACGCTGTGTCAATAGAACGGAACAAATTATAAATGTGATTGATATGTCTCAGCTGACAGAATAACCACTTGCCAACAACCGAATAAATGGTGCCCTGGATGATAACTGTTTATGTATATAATGTATATATACATATTTATATATATATATACGTCTCACTTTCGCTGTGAATCGTTGCTCCAAGTCCGCTGAGAACCGTGCACGTGATGTTCCAGTCGTTTATTCGTGTCCCGCACTTCGGGCACGGCAGCATGTGACTGGCAGGGTCCTCACAGGAATTGCCAAAGCCTGCTGACACAAGGTCCCTTCCAACAAAAAGAATGGATTTGGAGAGGAAATTACAGAATTGGGTTGTCATCTACATCATTGGAAAACAAAGAGGCATACAGTCTTAATTATCCTTGTTGCCCATCCTCTTGACCGTCTCAGCAACGGTGACAGGTGTTTTGTTAACGGCATGACCTGAAAACATACCATAGCCTTCATGCTCGCCTGTTCAGCCTGGAACCCAACACGAGCGCTTCGAATGCTGTCCCGCGGTGCGTTCCGCGTGAAAATGCTAAGAGCCAAATCGGCGAATTTTGTTCGCATCTCATCAGAGACGTCGCTGGAGGCCTGAGAACAGGAGAAAAAAATAGCAGCGACCTGTTCAAAAAGCCAAGAAATGACGTCGAAGCTTGCAACCAGCGAAGCCGGTCTTTGAAATAAGATGAAATAAGCACAATCAGCATGCTGCTAAGAAGTGATGGTAAAGGCAATGGTAAAGTCACAGTACAACTCTAGAAGCGTTCCTATTGTTGACACAATCAACACTGTGGACGGTAGGGGTGGCATGTGCACTTTCTGCAGCGAATCATCTTCTAGTTGATCTTGGTCCACAGACCTGACCTTCTGGGGCTTTGGTACAGAATGGAACAATTTGACAATCCACACAATGCCGACAGGCCTCCAGTTTTATGAAGGCTCTGGAGCACTGTGCAAAGAACTTGTTGTAGTACGTTGTCAAGGCCTGTGCAACATCAAAAGCGTAGTCTCAGCAGCGATCCCTTCCTGATTCTTGCATGATTCCATCTCTCATGCTTGACTATCTTGCTGCTAGGCCCTTCTTTATCAAAAAGGTCCCACCACTCATTTTAGGTTCCAATCAATCTGAGGCCACTTAATCCTCATCCTGAGGCTCCAGACTATGAGAGAGTATATGGTCTGCGTGTCCAAAATATCCTCAAGCGCAGTCTTTCCAAGAGTTCTGAGGAGTTTTGTTTCTTCGTATCATTGGCTTCACAATGCCTAGACGTTTCATCAAATGCTTTCAATAATACTGCAGCTTTGGAAGGAAGAAGGTCAAGTTCACATACTTCCAAACTGATGAAATGGACTATATGAACATGAATAAACACTGTCCAGAATAATACTGTAGCTATGCAGACATCAAGTGTCAAAGGGTCGTACGCCGACCTACTACGCTTGGGGGGCCTCGTATTCTGACAGCCGCAGAGATGTCTTCATAGCCTGACAAGTGCAGTGCAAAGCCAAAGCAATAACCTCCGTGCAAACAACCCAAACACTCAATTTGCCAAAGAGAAAAACAAAATGGACATCACAGTCCAACGACATACACTGACCATACTAAAACACATCAGAGGATAAAAATAATATAACTAACGTATCTCAGTATCTCATGATTCCATGGCACTCACCCTGGCTATATATATATAAGCAGAATTAGAAAACAATTCGACGTTCTGAATTGGGAAGTCGTACATGGCAATACTAAGCGGTCCTGAAACGCATCAGGAAAATAGAAGCATCCAACATCACATGACTCCAAGTTCCAATAAGCTTTGTGGCA